CTCTGCGCCGCTCGCCCTCCCGAGCCGCTTTAGCCCTGCGCTCGCCGTGACGTGAGGGCTTTAAGTGGAGCTTTATGGACATCATTTCGGGCACGCACTCTTAACAGATGGGCTAGGTACACGGTATTACCCTGTGGTACCTAAGCGACCTTTGCTCGCGCGGCTGTGGGGCAGGTCTGCGTGCAGCTGGCGTGGTGGGTTGTCCAGAAGCTGGCTGGAGACCCAGGCGGGGCTAAACTGTGCGGGTTCGCTGCGGGAAGGAAAGTCATTCTCTGGAAATCACTGCATGCTCCCTTGAAACAGACACCCTCCTAAATTGGAGCTCTCTGGTTTTCTGTTTGCTAAGTGCTTGAAATTAAGCAAGTTCTTCAACTTAGTGTGTTTATAGCTAGTCATTCTGCAAATCTTCTGACAGTAGATTACATTTTTCGTCTTTTTTATTTTTATTTTGGGGGGGTTGTTTTACTTTTTGCAGGAGATCATGATGTCCGCGAGGATTTTTAGAATACGCCTGCTGTTCTGCTTTCTGGCTACATTCTTCATCTCTGCGCTAGCTGAGGAACACGTAGGAGAGACTCAGCATGCAAATATTCGCCTTGATAAGAACTTGGTACAAGATAAAGAGTATGTGTTCCGTGTTCTAAAAATGTAAACTTTACTTCTTAATGATTTGCTTATCTCTTTAAGTTTTGTTACGTGAGTTGGACTTACGCCTAGGGCACACTGTTTTCTCAGGATGTTGTATGACTAGCTGGAGTCAGATATGAAACATGCTTGTTTGGTAATTTTCCAGAGATATTAGGCCTAGAAAGATCCATCTGGAGCCTTTAGCCCTACTCATATTGTAAAGAATTTATTACAGAAATCCTTCTTACCTAGATCAACATACTGTAGACAAAATCACATTCTGAACAGGTAGAGTGAGAGGGTTTTTTTCATTTGCTTTCTTCTACAGACAAAACAGTGGTAGCAGCAAATAAAACTCCCCAGAATACTTCATGTTTGACGGAGAAAGATCTTCCTCCAGTTCCTGTCCTTTTGGAAGGCAGCCAAAAGGAGATTTTGGGCACTGCTTCAGTTGTTTTAATAACCTGCTAAATAGGCCAGAAGAAAGAGAAATAGCTATATACACATTAGAGCCCACTGCAGCACCTGTAACAAACAACCTTTGTACCCCCTTCATCTTAGTATAAAACTAACTTTCAGTTGTCCAGGGTGCTTTTAGAGGTACAATATTTCCTGTGTACTTCACTATCTGATCTACGACTAAATTTGAAATAAACAGAGCATTAAATATTAACTGATGGGTATGTTGTTGGGTTTTTGGGGTTTTTTTTTTCTTAGACACATCATGGAACATTTGGAAGGTGTTATTGAGAAACCAGAATCCGAGATGTCTCCACAAGAGTTGCAGCTTCATTACTTCAAAATGCATGATTATGATGGCAATAATTTGTTAGATGGATTAGAGCTTGCTACTGCTATTTCACATGTCCACAAAGAGGTAGGTGGAATTTTGTAATGGCATGTGTGTTTGGAAACAGTTTTGACTCACTACAAGCAGCTTACAGTAGAAGAGAACAGTTACAACACATCTTCAGTGCAGTTACAGTTATGCCTGAAAATGAGATTATTTTTCCCTGTGATAGCTTTGGTTTAATTTATAAGTGTGCTAGTTTTATCACGGCTTTTCATGTCACATTGCAGTTTTCAAGAAGTCTCTGTTGTGGGTCAAACTTTAGAGCAGGTAAGGACTGTAGAGTGAAAATGCTTTGACAAAGGGGATAATCTGGTAGGCAGGGATGGGGAAAAGGGGAAATTATCCCAAATGGGATAATGCTGGTGAGGTTTTATAGAAATAGGATGTGATACGATGCTGTTGGAGGTTCTGAGGTTGCTGTTTTCAATTCCAAACTTTTACTGCTGTGGATACACAAACTATAAGAGAGCTCTTGCACAAAATTCGTATTAGAAGAACCACTCATGGTCTGCCTTTGTTTTCTTCACCTTTTTCTAAACACAAATTCTCTTTCCAGGTGGCAACATTTAAGGACAAAGTAGGAAGATACAATCCTTAGGAAGACAATACCACACATTATCTCGTACTGACCTTTTGGAAGTTACAGTTCAGAATAGCCTAACCTCCTGTGTACACCTGTGGCAGAGAACACCTAGCCAAGAACAGCATAATGACTTGCTGTTTCTTGTGCAAAAGCACCTCTCTGCATTCCCCTTTGCTAGTAACAAGTGATACTAAGAATTTTTAATGACTTTAAGCTATACTGCTGGATTTTTTTCACTACTGTCTTACTGTCAAGCTCTGCATTTTGCAAGTTCTTAAACGCAGGAGGTTGTTTCTGTACTGTATAGAAATGATAGCGTCTCTACAACATCAAGATCCAAATTAAGAATACGTCTTGTTAGATTATTATCCATCACTGTACACTGTGCTATTCAGCTTTTAGAACTTTTCACTAGAACATTAACTGGATACGGAGTGCCTGTTCTAAAGTCCAGAGAACTTGGACTTCATAGCTTGCACCTGATAAAGGTTGTTTATATTGGCATAAATGATTACATAAAACTTAGTGCCAAAGTAGGCACCCTACCCAAATAGCTTAACAAAAAATGAGTGGTCAGTAATCTGTCATGTGTGCCCCTAGATGAGAAACACTGCTAAACTGTTCAATGTCGTTTTGTTTTTGTAGGAAGGTGGTGAGCATACTCAAGCAATGAAAGAAGAAGAGCTAATTGGCCTAATAGATGATGTCTTAAGAGATGATGACAAGAACAATGACGGATACATTGACTATGCAGAATTTGCAAAATCACTGGAATAAGGTTTTGCAGGGGGCTTGTTTCTCCTTCTGACTACATGGAAATGTGAACCAGTGTAATGTGATTCATTACTGTCCCATATCAACCTCTGTGCTGTAAGAAGGAGAGGCGTACCAGTTCCAGATGAATTTATTTGACAGTTGTATGTGTTAAGAGACTGGCTAACTCGGAGCGAGGGCCATGTTTGACTAAATGTAGCTACACATTGGAATCGAAGCGTGGAACACGTCAGCAGTACTCACATAGGGTACAGCTGGCAACATAGACCATAATCTAAATTTCAGTTTTCTGTCCTTGGGTTATCTAGTACTTATTTGCTTACATCTTCTATCTAAACTTATAAAACACCTAGAAAGCCAGAAAAGATGACTGCATATAGTTGTATTTCATGGATAAATGCCCTTACCTTCCCACTCATTTCAAAGGAAATTTGCATATAAGTACAGGTGCTTCAAACAGCAATTGTAGAGGAAAAGCATTTGAATGTGGTTTATGTTAGAGGTCCACATGATACCATATGGACTTTAACACAGCTTTTGAAAGAAATTTAGTATTTTTAAATATATGTACTTCCTAGCATACCCTTATATTTTACATATAAATATATATACACATTTTTCAATTTCTTCTCATCATTCATAGATTTGCTTTCTATACCTTAATTTACAGACGTTTTTCTCTGCTTTCCATGTTGTTTTCTTAAGAAAATGAAAGTATTTTATTACATTTCTATGTCATATTAATGCTGTATAGCATTTATTAGAGGAGCTTCTGCTATCTCGTTTTGAAGGTCATGTTAACAGTAAATCAGTTTAATATAAAAGCTGCTGTTCAATTTGGTTTTTACAGTATTAGCCAGCAGGATAATCTAAGTGAGCAAGTAATGCTGCCTTATTAAGGTTTAAGTTCATATTCCTTGACATTTAAATTGTGGTATTACTTCCAGGAGGCATTTCATAACTAACAGTTTCAAGATAATTGAGTGTTTGCAAATTAACATGGTTCTAGGAATGTTTTCTCTGTCTTGACTCAGTACTTGGTAAGTCAAGCAGTTTAAGGATATTAGAGAAGTGATGTATTGCTGTCTTATTGATACTTGGTGACTCTAAAACATAATTGAAATCTTAAATTGCATTCAATTATTATCCATTAATAAAGAATCTAAATGTTAGCATATTTCTGCAAAATGTATAAAGACCTATTTTCTGTACAAAATTATTCTTATAAAAGAGAAACACATTTGTAAAAGAAATTTTCTTTTGTTTAAATGTTTGTGCAATGAATCCCGAGTGTTGGGCTTTTCTCTTGTACTAATTATTTATTTTGATACTTTTGTGGCCAGGGTTGTGCTGGTTGTACAAGCAATAAAAAGTTGGGGTTTGTGCACTCTGGAGCTAGGCACACAAGGCTCAGTGTCCTAGTGAGAAATGTACCTAATTTTATGGTGTATTTTTAAGCCTGTTTCTGTTACTAGCAGTCATCTGAAAAGAAAGTTCTTCTTTCAGTGAAAGCATTTTTAAAATATCTTTTCTGAGGGTAATTAATCTGGAGTAAATGTGAATCAGAAGAAAGTATAGAAAGAACATGCTTGTAGGTAGGAGAGGAGAAGAGGTTAAGTTCCTCAGGTTTGAGCACTTAAAGCAGGTTGCCTGTAGACCTGCGAGCTCTTACATGTTTATTGCATAAGCTTCTGAATTTTGGATTTATTTGGGATGAAGGAGTGAGATCAAGGAACTGACTTCTATGCACTGCTCTTAAAAATCATAGTTTTCTTATCAAGCGCAGTCTGTAAACTTAGTCCAGCAACCATCTGTGGGGCTCATTTATATATATGTTGTATTTATATACATATTTACTAACTGCTATTGTATGTGCCAAAAGACTTGCACCATAGAAGCTTTTGTATCAGAAATAATTATGATAAACACAGGTAATGTGAACATTGTTTACCAACTATTCTAAACTTGGTTTTAAGGGTTCAGATGTATAAATAGAGAAATTATTTACTGAAAATGGAGAACGAAATTGGCACCTTTGATTTCATGATGCATGCAGAAGGATCAAAACAAAATTTCTCCTTTCCTAGAAAGAACAAGAAATGCTGCCCAGGCTGAAACCTGCATCATCATGTCTTTACTCAGCCTCCTAAAACAAATACACATACTTAATTAAGCGCACTTAAAGATAGATGGTGTAACAGCTGTCTAGGGAGCTTTCTCAGTTGTTAAATGGAAAAGTGCAAAATTGCTGAAAGCAATAGTGAGTCAGAATTTTTGACTTTTTTTTTTTTAATGTAACTAATTTGTGTGCTAGTTGTAGCTCATGTGGTACCCTAAATATGCTGGTACAGGTCATATATACAGTATTTTCTGTTTCATATATATAATATAGAAAATACGACCTTTACAACAGAAGTACTCATCAACTATAAAGCTATTTTACCCTTCGTAGAACAGTACTATCCCCCATTTCACAGAGAAGGTAAATAACAAAGCAGAAGAGGTGTATGATTTACTGAAGGTCAATCACATCTCTGGCAGAAACACAAAACTCTGCGAATGCTGTTGTGTGTGATCTTCACCTCTTCCTAGTCTGTGATTTCAAGGGATGGGGATTAGTTTTCCCTATTAGGGGAGAACACATCTGGCCTTGCATTACTACATACTGTGTGCTCAGTTCAAAGTATTTAGATTATCTGCTTTTACCTCACAAAATACCAGATAATCTAGCAGCTAAAGAAAATACTTAAACTTGTTCTCGAAGCACTGCTAGACTGAACATTTTTTTAATTAGTCAATCTAGAACATAGTCTGTATATGAAGGAGAAAAATCTTAACTGCTTGTCCAGTGAATGCTGTTAATGACAAGAATGATTGCCTAGAACTTCCCAACAGTTTTATCTGCATATTCACAGAGGCTTTACTACCTTTTTTTTTTTTTTAATTAATCACCTCAAAATGCCTTAGATTCATTAAGGAATGGTTATAGATTTACCAATCCTGATTTCATCTAAAGTATTTTTTGATACCACAATTCACAAGCGTTAAGAACAGCAATTCAGGATTAATGTCATAATCGATACAGCCACTAGATAGCGTATTGACACCACATTTGTTCCTTGTGGTGTGTAACTTGGAGTGATCCAACAACCTGGATTTCTCTAAACCATCACCACTTCTCTGGTTATAGGCAAGGCTTGCTCCTCTGTCTTCCAACACCACATTGTCAGTATGATGCCCACATTTTTATTAGTTTACACCTGTCAAAAAAATTGACCATAGCTGGGACTGGTTACTAGAAATTAATTTTCATTGTTTAGTGAATCCAAATATACTTGAAGTGATAGTAAAAAACCCTTGCATTTTAATACTGACAGTAAAAACAACTGTAACAGGAAGGCTTTCTAATATAAGCACCAGGCATGGCCTGACTTCTTGACCATCTCTAGTTAAGCTATGAGAGGGTCCATGAGGTGTCTACAGTGGTCTCAATCAACATTGAAGAATATCAGAGGATTTTAGTAGGACTTGAAGACTTACTGGTTTTGCATTAGACATCAGTAAGAGCTTCTGTCACAGTTCTTACAAGGCATAGGTCCAGTGTGATCTGATCAGCCATTTTTGCTTAAGGTGAAGCTTACTGCTTTTTTCTTCTCCCCCATTACAGTGTCACTGTCTCCCTATTGCACCACGAAATAGCTGCATAATGTTCTAAATTTTTAGTAAACAAATAAAGGCAAGGATCATTGCATACCTTAGTCTGGATTATTTATTATCACAAGAAATTTGTGTTCTAAACATTTCATCAGCACAGATCCTGTCTATGTTGAACGAGATCTGTTCGAAGGGCAGTTATTAATACCTTACAGAAGGTTTCTCTGAAGTTACATTTTTCTTCCCATTCTTCATGCTAAATTCTGAACAGCAGCCTAAAGCTTAAGGGCTAATACATGCCGTAAGTGTCACTACCTTCCTCCGTTGAGCTGCAGTTTTACACATTAGGTAGAGGGCAGTGTAACATGACTCAAAGTCTACTGCCAGATATGACATTTTACAATATATCAGTACTGCAGCAAACATAGTGTCAACTTCTGCCACTTGATCCAACTGAGTGACAGCACTGGATTTCAAGAAGGCAGATGTCAATAAACTCAGAAAATGGGTAGGGAAGGTCTCATAAGAGGCAAATCTAAGGGAAAACCAAATTATGGAGAGCTGTCAGTTCCTTCAAGAAATGCTAATAAGAAACTAAGTGCAACCCATGCCATTTTAGAGGAAAGTAAGGAAAATTCAGCAGAAGTCAGCTAATTCACAACCTTTTAATTGACCACAAATGTAAGAGAGAGATATATCTGTAAAGCAGAAACTAGGTCAGCTGGTTGCAACCCAGCACAATATTCTGTTCATGAGGAGTTGGGGGGGTGTATATAGCTAGTAAAGACAAAATCCACAAGATGCAACTAGCAAAACTTACCAAAAAAAAAAATAAAATAAAAAAATTACAGGTAAGGTTGTAAGAGAAAAACAAAGGGAAGTTTGAACCACTACTCAAAGATGGGGAGTGCTATCAGCAGAGGAGTTTAATGTCCTTTTTTTGTCCCCCCTTTTTCATCAATCTTTACTAAGAAGGTCAACAGCAAGCAGACAGTACAATTATTACCAGGAAAAGGAGGTAAACATTTCAGTCTAAAATATGCAAAACCTGCTTAGAGAGTAACCAGTCAAGTTAGATGTTTTCCAGTTGCCTAAGACTGATCAACAGGGTGAAGTAATGGCCACAGATGTCATATAGCTTGAATTTATTTTATTTATTTTTTTCCAAACCTTTAGCAGTACTTCCTATAAAATCTTCATGAACAGACTAGGAAACTGTAATCTAAATTAAACTGCTGTGGGAAGGAGCAGGAGGTCAAGTCTGGTTGGATAATTGTATCCATGGGGTAATTCCATCATTACCTATCAAAATACATGTGTTTTTGCAAGGAATTCTGTGGGCTTTGGTCCCATATCAAGTTTTATTTGATGTTTTCATTGAAGGCATAGAAGATGGAATATGAAGTATGATTATTAAACATGCAGAGCAAGGAAGGACTGCAGAAGTTACAGGTGCTAAAGGATCAGAA